AGAGAGAGAGAGAGAGAGAGAGAGAGAGAGAGAGAGAGAGAGAGAGAAATGCAAGGTCATCCCCAGCGTGTAGCACAATCCAGGCCAGCCTGTGCTACACAAGACCTTATCCTGGCAAGATTCTCCCAGCATGCCCCACTGGTGGCAAAGGCAAGGTGCTGGCCCACTCCTGACTCCCTCCCCTGTGCTAGGGCTCCTGAGGTCACAGTGGCAGCCACCAGCCCTGCTTTCTGGCTGGGTCCATTCCTAATCTCTGTCCTGTAAGGATGTCCCACAGGCCTCATGCTGTGAGATTCTCACTCATCACAGCTTCTAGAGGCCACGGCCCAGCCCGGGACACACCACTCAGGACTTTCACTTCTCGGGCTTTTCCCTGACAAAATATTCTGACTTGTACATCAAGTCATGGGCGAGGAAGTTCACCATGGGCGGAGTGAGTCACTCCCTGAGGGGGGGCCTCTGAGTATCCTAGGAGCATGAGAACAGAACGCAGCCATTGTCTTCTGAAAGACTACAGTGAGGTGGGGGCAGAGGGGTGAACAGTCGCTTGCCCAGCCCTGGAATCCCACATGTGCACTTGGGAAGTGGAGGCAGGTGGATCTCTTGAGTTTGAGGCTAGCCTGGTCTACTTAGCATGTTCCAGGACAGCCACAGAAGAGCCAGACAAGAAGGGGCTTGGAAGAGAGGAGGGATGGTGGAAGCTATAGAGTGTCTGTCTGTCTGTCTGTCTGTCCTGGTCCCAGCAGACTCTGTCCCGTGTGGACCCTTCAATGTTGTCTTCGTTTCCTTATCGGACACACTCACCCTACATCCATGTTTGAAGCTCCCTACACTGTGTGGTGTACTCAGTCACTCGTGGTTTTTTTCTCTATGAATGTTCCTTTCTTTGTTTTGTTTCTGTTTTTGTTTTTCGAGACAGGGTTTCTCTGTGTAGCCCTGGCTGTCCTGGAACTCACTCTGTAGACCAGGCTGACCCCGAACTCAGAAATCCACCTGCCTCTGCCTCCCAAGTGCTGGGATTAAAGGCGTGCGCCACCACCGCCCGGCTGTATTTTTTTAAAGATTTACTTTATTTATTATGAGTACACTGTAGCTATCTTCAGACACACCAGAGGAAGGCATCGGATCCCATTACAGATGGCTGTGAACCACCATGTGGTTGCTGGGAATTGAACTCAGGACCTCTGGAAGAGCAGCCAGTGCTCTTAACCGCTGAGCCATCTCTCCAGCCCCACAAGTTTATATTTTTAAAACAAAAATGTCCAATGGATTCCTTTGGGTTGAAGGGGGTTAGAGACAGACTGAAGGGAGATCGAATTCAAGTGCTTACATGGCTCCAATCCAGCCCCCCTTGGTGGCTCTGTCGCCCATATTCCCTGCCTTCCCTCTTCGCAGTGCCGTGCCGTGTGTGGCCTCAACACATCTGACCGCTGCGACTTTGTCAGGAGGAATCCCGACTGCCACAGCGAGGGGGGCTACCTGGACTACCTCGAGGGCATCTTCTGCTACTTCCCCTCCAACCTCCTCCCTCTGGCCATCACCCTCTATGTGAGTCTGTGCCCTGGAGGCTGGTAATGGGCGTGTGTCTGTGGAGGGACGTAACTCTGTCTCCTTTTCTGGTCCCCACCAGGTTTTCTGGCTCCTTTACCTCTTTCTGATCCTGGGAGTCACCGCGGCCAAGTTGTGAGTGTGGCCTGGGCTCGTGTCCAGCTTATAGATGGGAAAATGCCATCTTGAGAGCTGAGATCCAGTGACAGGCTTTTGGGAAATGATGGGGCAGGGGCCAGTCACCGTGGGCTTGCTCGTCAGTGGCTATGCTTGGGGAAAGGTCCTCACGCATGCATACACACATGTTTATGGCGGAGGGTCCTCGCGCATGCGTATGACTGTGCGTATGGCCGACAGTCTTCACGCATGCGTATACAGGTGTTTATGGTGACCAGAGGCCAATCTCAGGTGTTGGGTTTTTTTGTTTGTTTGTTTGCTTTTCAAATCAGGGTTGCTCTGTGTAGCCCTGGCTGTCCTGGAACTTACTCTGTAGCCCAGGCTGATTCAGAGATCCACCTGCCTCTGCCTCCTAGTTCTGGGATTAAAAGTGTATGCTGCCACCACCCCAGCTGCAGGTGGTGTTCTTAAGGATGCTAACTAGGCATTCTGTTTTTTGAGACGGGATCTCTCACTGGCCTGGCTCACTGACTGGTCTAGGCTGGCTGGCCAGTGAACCCTTGCCTCCCCAGCGCTAGGGATGACAAAGACATGCCACCACACCCAGCCTTTTCACGTGGGTCCCGGCAAACACTTTACTGTCTGAGCCGCCTCCCAGCAGACCCTGACAGATGGCTCTTCCTCCTCTAGCTTCTGCCCTAACCTGTCAGCCATCTCCACCAGCCTCAAGCTCTCTCACAACGTGGCAGTATCCTTTGGTCCAGCTCCCTGTAGGAGAGGGTGGTCGAGGGAGGCAGGAGCGCAGAGCGAATGGCAACTACGGGGCCGGGAAATGGTCTTCATGGAATCCCCTTGACACATACTCCCCCATGGTGTCACCTTCCTGGCCTTTGGAAATGGCGCTCCAGACATCTTCAGCGCTCTAGTGGCGTTCTCAGACCCACGCACTGCTGGCCTGGCCATCGGGGCTCTGTTTGGTGAGCACAGCATACCCTACTGGGGTATGGAGGCATTGGGGATCACTCAGGGTGCCGCCGCCTCCTGAACTCTGGTCTCCTATCTTCCAGGTGCAGGAGTGCTGGTCACCACTGTGGTGGCTGGAGGCATCACCATCATGCACCCCTTCATGGCTGCCTCCAGGCCCTTCCTCAGGGACATCACTTTCTATATGGTGGCCGTGTTCCTAACCTTCACCGCGCTCTATCTCGGCAGGATCACGCTGGCATGGGCACTGGGTGAGGAGTCCGGGGGTCACTCCAGGATAGAGTCTCTGGAAATGTCTGGGGGGGGGGGGGGCCGGGTTGATTTTACCCAAAGTGACAGACACTACTTAAGCCAGCCAACGATGAGGAAAGAGAGGGGGGTGAGTGGGGGAGGGGCAGAGCCTGGTGGCTTTTAGATGTGATCGTGACCCCAGGGGCCTTACAGCAAACTGGGTCAATTCTGATTAAGAAAGACCCATAAAGCCAGGCAGTGGTGGCACATGCCTTTAATCCCAGCACTTGGGAGGCAGAGGCAGTCGGATTTCTGAGTTTGAGGCCAGCCTGGTCTACAGAGTGAGTTCCAGGACAACCAGGGCTACACAGAGAAACCCTGTCTCGAAAAAAACAAAACAAAACAAAACAAAAAAACAAAAAACAAAACAACAACAAAACAAAGAAAGAAAGAAAAAACAAAAGAAAGAAAGAAAGACCCAGAAGAACGTCAGTGAAGCCAAGAAGGGACAAGTGGCCCAGGAACCAGCCACAGAGAGGACTATTACTCCCCTATTTTCCCAGCAAGAAGGCAGGGGTAGGGAAATGAGAGCCTGGCAAGGGTCTCGAGCTGGAGCCATACAGCCATAGAAGGGAATTGACCAAAGGCAGGGCAGCCCAGAGCAGGTATCAGGGACCACATCCCACTTGCCTGCCGCTCTAGGTTCCTGCATGGTGACTTAAGGGTTACTGAGCACCCATGCTTCTTTCTCTGATTGAGGGGGTTCCGGGAATATGGGCAGGAAAGGTGAGCCTAGAATAGCAAGAAAAAGGTAGAGCCACAGAGATGGCCACTCACCCTCCAGGACACCTGGTGACAGTCTGCACCTCTGCCTGCAGGTTACCTGGGCCTCTACGTGTTCTATGTGGTCACAGTCATCGTCTGCACTTGGGTCTACCAACGGCAGCGAAGCAGGTCTCTGATCCACTCCATATCGGAGACACCAGGTGAGGAACCTCCATGAGGTGAAGGGTGGCTCTGTTCTTCACTGCTGCCTCGTGTCCCCCAAGGCCCTGCCCGGTCATCTCTTCACCTCCCCACCTGGGCCACAGTCCTTCCCTGGTTCGTGCTGGCGAGCCACAGAACCTTCTCGTCCAAGGTCACAGGTCTCCACGCGTTACTGCAGTTGTCCTCACTTGTACAAGTTGTATGCATCTCTGCCCTTGGGAAGAATCCAGATGAATCCTATGACACATGTACAGAGCACAGGTACACACATATACACAAGTGCTCCACACCTCCATCCATGCACATGTGGACATAGCACACACAAAGATACACAGCACGCAAAACAGGGTCCACAGAAGTCACACATGCGCACAAGCATGCACACACATAATATGCTGAACGCATGCACACATGCAATGCGTTGCACACGTGCAATACACTGTACACATCCACACATGCAATACACTGTACACATGCACATAGGAAATACACTGCACACATGAACACATGCAATACACTGCACACATGAACACATGAAATATACTGCACACATACAATACACTGCAATACACTGCATACATGAACACATGTAATACACTGCACACATGAAACACACTGCACACATGAACACATGAAATATACTGCACACATGCAATATACTGCACACATGCAATACACTGCACACATGAACACATGCAATACACTGCATACATGAACACATGTAATACACTGTACACATGCACATATGAAATACATTGCACACATGCAATATACTGCACACATGAACACATGAAATATACTGCACACATGCAATACACTGCACACATGAACACATGTAATACACT